ACCTGTTTATTACCCAGTCATCACCTAACTACACTAGAGACTGACATGTCTATTACCCAGTCATCACCTAACTACACTAGAGACTGACATGTCTATTACCCAGTCATCACCTAACTACACTAGAGACTGACATGTCTATTACCCAGTCATCACCTAACTACACTAGAGACTGACATGTCTATTACCCAGTCATCACCTAACTACACTAGAGACTGACATGTCTATTTTCCAGTCATCACCTAACTACACTAGAGACTGACATATCTATTACCCAGTCATCACCTAACTACACTAGAGACTGACATGTCTGCTACCCAGTCATCACCTAACTACACTAGAGACTGACATGTCTATTACCCAGTCATCACCTAACTACACTGACTGACATGTCTATTACCCAGTCATCACCTAACTACACTAGAGACTGACATGTCTATTACCCAGTCATCACCTAACTACACTAGAGACTGACATGTCTATTACCCAGTCATCACCTAACTACACTAGAGACTGACATGTCTATTACCCAGTCATCACCTAACTACACTAGAGACTGACATGTCTATTACCCAGTCATCACCTAACTACACTAGAGACTGACATGTCTATTACCCAGTCATCACCTAACTACACTAGAGACTGACATGTCTATTACCCAGTCATCACCTAACTACACTAGAGACTGACATGTCTATTACCCAGTCATCACCTAACTACACTAGAGACTGACATGTCTATTACCCAGTCATCACCTAACTACACTAGAGACTGACATGTCTATTACCCAGTCATCACCTAACGACACTAGACTGACATCTATTACCCAGTCATCACCTACCTACACTAGAGACTGACATGTCTATTACCCAGTCATCACCTAACGACACTGACATGTCTATTACCCAGTCATCACCTAACTACACTAGAGACTGACATGTCTATTACCCAGTCATCACCTAACTACACTAGAGACTGACATGTCTATTACCCAGTCATCACCTAACTACACTAGAGACTTACATGTCTATTACCCAGTCATCACCTAACTACACTAGAGACTGACATGTCTATTACCCAGTCATCACCTAACTACACTAGAGACTGACATGTCTATTACCCAGTCATCACCTAACTACACTAGAGACTGACATGTCTATTACCCAGTCATCACCTAACTACACTAGAGACTGACATGTCTATTACCCAGTCATCACCTAACTACACTAGAGACTGACATATCTATTACCCAGTCATCACCTAACTACACTAGAGACTGACATGTCTATTACCCAGTCATCACCTAACTACACTAGAGACTGACATGTCTAGACTGACATGTCTACCCAGTCATCACCTAACTACACTAGAGACTGACATGTCTATTACCCAGTCATCACCTAACTACACTAGTCTAGACTGACATGTCTATTACCCAGTCATCACCTAACTACACTAGAGACTGACATGTCTATTACCCAGTCATCACCTAACTACACTAGAGACTGACATATCTATTACCCAGTCATCACCTAACTACACTAGAGACTGACATATCTATTACCCAGTCATCACCTAACTACACTAGAGACTGACATATCTATTACCCAGTCATCACCTAACGACACTAGACTGACATTTCTATTACCCAGTCATCACCTAACTACACTAGAGACTGACATGTCTATTACCCAGTCATCACCTAACTACACTAGAGACTGACATGTCTGCTACCCAGTCATCACCTAACTACACTAGAGACTGACATGTCTATTACCCAGTCATCACCTAACCTAACTACACACTAGACTGACTAACGACACTAGACTGGCATCATGTCTATTACCCAGTCATCACCTAACTACACTAGAGACTGACATGTCTATTACCCAGTCATCACCTAACTACACTAGAGACTGACATATCTATTACCCAGTCATCACCTAACTACACTAGAGACTGACATATCTATTACCCAGTCATCACCTAACTACACTAGAGACTGACATATCTATTACCCAGTCATCACCTTACTACACTAGAGACTGACATGTCTATTACCCAGTCATCACCTAACTACACTAGAGACTGACATGTCTGCTACCCAGTCATCACCTAACTACACTAGAGACTGACATGTCTATTACCCAGTCATCACCTAACGACACTAGACTGACATGTCTATTACCCAGTCATCACCTAACTACACTAGAGACTGACATGTCTATTACCCAGTCATCACCTAACTACACTAGAGACTGACATATCTATTACCCAGTCATCACCTAACTACACTAGAGACTGACATATCTATTACCCAGTCATCACCTAACGACATTAGAGACTGACATATCTATTACCCAGTCACCACATTTATGCACCAGACACTGATATGTCTATTTTCCTTATGTACACTAGAAAATGATATGAAAAAATGTGTACTGTCATACATGGTTACAACACAAATTGTGATGTGTTAAATTTTCTTCCGTGAAGTCACAGCAAATGTTACCGAACACTACAAGAAACTACAAGTTAACAAATTTGGATGTGGAATTTTCCAGACACAAAAAGAAAATATTGTTGGTCAGTGACTTTTAATATATTGTATGTATATGATGAAGATAAAGATGACCTTGACCTTTATCATGGCATGATATGATGCTTATAATATAAAAGTACATACTTATATCATTGACCAATATCGAATAGGATGGCGATAAACCCATCCGACGCCAAAGGGAAATACATAAATTTTCAAGGTACCTGAAAAAAAGAGAAATCAAAATATGAATGTAACCATGTAGTCGCCTGATCAAAAGGCACCTATAAATCATTCCATCATCAAAAATAGTTCGAAATTTCAATAGATTTATCCAGGTTTTGTAACAAGACATTACACACACCTACACACACAACACAACACACACACGCCTTAACAGAAACGACAAGAACCCTTGTAAGAGTTGTCGAATCAACATGTCTCCTGTAAAACACAATTTCTTTGCTTCGTGATGATTGGCCCTTGCGAATTTCAAATAAATCGATAAGAAATTGGAAACACCAAAACAGGATTAAAATGGTAAAAGAGAAAACAACTGTGAAAATAAAACACTGAATGATGACAAGGGCTTAAAATATTAAAGAGGATCTCCAGACAAGATGAAGAAAGATATGTGTACACGTCTGATTCCCGTGTAATTGATGACTAATATGATCATTGATAATATATGGGGATGTCACCACTTTGGTGAAATACTACAGCCTAATCTATCTAGGACGAACTCGGATGACTGGGTCATATATCAGTATATTGCTCATTGAAAACTTTGATATCTATTTACGAATCTTACAGTTACATAAATAATAGCTGACATGACTATGATCCGCTTACCTTGAACCTTTAACATACACACCGATCAGCTGTCAGCCACGCTTTGTTGTTTTCTTCACCTTCACATCAGCTTTATTTGGACAGGAAACAATAACCAATAACAGTAAGGAATTCCTTTCACAAGAAAAGTGTTTAAATTTATATCAAGATATTTTCAACTTATACATATGCATCAATTTTCTAGAGTTTAACAACGCTGTGAACAAGGGGTCGCGTAGATTTACCCCTACTTTAAAATCTGTTTTATTCTGAAGTGACTCGAAAGACCTATTAAGTCGTGTAATGACCACAAAAACCTAACGGGGTGACAAGTCTTGAGAACATGATCTAATACATAAAATACCAATTAAATCTGTCGAGGATGAGATCTTTAAGGTTTTTTTTTGTTTTTACTTACATTTTTTATTTTTTTAAATTTCAAAAATGGTAGGTTTCAGTTTATTTTTGTCCCGCTGGTATCAAAATTACGGACGCACGAACAGACATTTCTAAATGCTGTACATCTCCCTTTATTAAGGAGAAACAACCAAATAACAAACCTTGAATTTTCAAGTTTATTTTACCAGTTTACATTTAATATTATCAGATACAGTATTCATCCGTATTTGTTTTTTTTACATGAATTAATGATATGCTTTCGTGTCTGGGTGACACCGAAGTATTAACCGTTGATATGCTGCATTCCTTAAATATCTCTATTTAAATTTGGCAATGCTTTATGTGCACAGCGCACTTTCAGCTGGAAGTCTATATGTGGTCTACTATAAGGAAACCTAAATCTATAATTCACACTTCTCCATACTTGACATTCAGTTTTAAATTATGTTTTGTTAGAACAAGTAAGCCATATGTCAGTGCTGTATTGTTAATTGTTCACCAACATTATCGTGTTTATATTAAGATATTTGCAATTGACATTGAACCGACTCGTTTATTTAATTGCCTTGGACATCCCAACAACACCCAAGATGTTCTTTACGGACGTATAATGGGTGTCATCAACAACGAGAGGAGCATTGATTTGTTTGTTGATGGTCAATGAAATATAAGATACAAAGAAAGATTAAGATAAGTTATCAAATTAGGACAGGAGTTCAACTTTGGTGAAAATAATTTTCTCCAAGAAAAGACCAGTAATCACAGGTAAGGTATGTTATATGGGGTACAATTTTATAAATAGATCATTATAACTTGATAATGTTTTATTTGCCAAGCACTGACTGGCCACAGATATCAACGTCAATTTTACTTGTTGTTTGTGACCATATTTGGTATAATCCGTATCTCCATAAAAATATCACGCCAAACCTTTATGTACACAAAGGAATCGCTTGGTGATTTTGTAATACACAATTCGTGACGTGAAAATTTGGGTCGGGCAATGTCATTATCACGTGAGTTTACATCACTTATCTAACCAGAATACAGCTCCGGGTATATAGACACGGTTTACCTCTGAGCGTTTATTTTTCTTTCACGTTAGTAACACAGAACACGAACCTAGAAGAATTCAGCTATGTTTTTCCAAAGACTTATTCTCTTGGTAGTACCATGCGTCATCGTTATATCAAAATCCACGGAAGCAGATGAAATTTCACAATACAACAAAATGTTTGCAAACTTTTTGGAATTTGCTAAAAGAAAACATTCGACTGCACGGGAAATGGAGGAAAAGACAGAACTGCTTCACAGTATTTCTAGTGATGTGCTGCAGCCATATCAACAGAAGCTTAGTGACGCTCTTTCTACTTTCGATGCTGAAGCCGCAGAGATGTATAACGTGTCTGACACTTGTTTGAGGGACACAAAACAAATCATACTTGGTTTTCAAAGAAGGGAGTATTGGGCCTCACGATGTAAGTATACATTATTTGTTAATCTGTTTGGGCTTTACGTCCTTGCAACAGTCAAAGTCCTATAAAGAAGGTTCCATGAATATTTAGAACGATGGTGATTGGTTGTATAGTGTCATCACAGTGAATATCTAACCAGGACAAAATTAAACACGAGAGCATTTGTGTCCCCGTATCGAAGACTTGGAACGAATTAGCAGAAACCGCACAAGTTGTCTAGTACTATAACATATGCTGGAGTACAACGAAATTTGTACAAGATTCCATATCTTGAGAGTCTCTATAAAGGATTCTTTCGACATTTCGTTTTTACCAATAATAAGTATATATTATCTTCAATTACTAAAGAGTCAATGTGTATAGATCTTAGTATGCATGCTGGTTGCACAATCATTCGCTTGTTCTCATTTGATAACGTGATATCAATTACTTTGGATTGACCATTCATTATATGGAGAGTGTCATCGATAAAGCAGTAGACGTTTACTCTTCAGAACACTTGGTCTTATTCTCCTTACGCTTTTCCAGGGGTCGCGGAACAAATCTGACTTTTGTAAATATTAGAGTTTGAATTAAAATAATTTTACTTGTCAGAAGGTTATCTTTATGATTAAAACAGTACTTATGTCGTATTTCATGCTATATTCTTTCTTCTCAGTAATCGACTCTCTTGGAAAGCCAGGCAGTGGATTGACCGACGGAAACGTACATTGGATTGGCTCGTACGACCAGTGTAACTCTGTAGAGGGATTAGTATATACAGACATGGTGAACAACACTGGACCGCAATATATACTCCAAGGCAAATACTGTAAAGGACAGCTGGCTCTGGTATGTCATACGGGTACATGTAATGTATTGTTTGAACAGAAATATCAAAAGGCCGAGTTGATAAAATAGAAAACATACGAGTGAACAAGTCGGGTTACTAACACTAACGAGCTGTGTTTGGTGGAAGACAGGTGTATCTAAAGACAAACTGTTCTGTCTCTGAAATGTTAATATACTGTCAATATTCACATTTATGATGCCCTTATATATATATATATATATATATATATATATATGCTTTTCATGCTCATAATCAGTATAAATGTAAATATCACAAACAACATAATAAACGTAAATATTAACATTAAATTATCATATTAAACAAAGAAATGTTTAGTGTATCATTTGATATGAAAGCGATGCTTACAATTCTGTATTGAGATTTCTCTCCGGAGGTAGAATTGACTGGGTGTCTCGGTACAATTTCTCTCTGCTTGGCTGCACTCATTGTATATTCAAAACAAGAAGCAAAGTCATACAAATAGTAGAAAAGGACGACCAGGGGTTAGATAAGTTTTCTTTTCAAACATTTGTTGTGTTTCTTAAAATTCATATTTGATTCATTATTTGAAGTTTGTCAACGTATCTTAGAAGAGAACAGCATCAAACGTTATGTTAGATTAACGTTAGTATGTGCGAGTGTGGATAATATCCTAGTTCGCATTATGATCATACGATATCAAGTGTTCTGACCTGTCTGATGTCATTGATAGAACACAAAAACTTCCTTTGCTATGTAGATATTGTCATACTCAATGTATATTTACAAGGGTCTTCGGGTAAATAAATATTCCGATTGTATTGGGATTTCGACAAAGATTAACATCACCATTTTAGTAAGGGACTGACCGTTCTTCTATTTCTTGTGTTAGTTTCCCTGGCTGCCTTGTTGTGTCCTTTTGATTTTTGGACAGATGAGAAGAAAAAAGACGGACAATTGGCCATCTTTCATTTTGACAATGAATTTTGAAGTTTGTTATTGTGAAAAAATCAACAGATTGCCATCTTAGAATTCGTATTGAATTGCATTTTTATGTATTTCTGATAAAATACCGGAGAGATAGGAATATATGTAATAAATGCCGGAATTTTGTTGCCTATGCTTGATATGTTGACGTGTAATTTATTCATTTCTGATCAATGGAGAGAACAAATAAAAAGATGGTGTATGAACCAGCTTAATTATAAAAAATAAAGATTAGATAATTGTAGGCGCGCTAGGAACCTTCTTGGGTCTGTTGTTGCAGCATGGACACTGAATGGATATGATATCGCTTCAATTGTGTATTCATGAACATTAAATGAAAAAGAAAATCATCGAGGAAGTAAGAAAGTCAGATTGTGGTGATGGTAGAGGTTTTTCCCGAACTTAAACGCCTTTAACTGTGGTAAGAGCAGGGAGTTCATTTCTCCGACCTAATGGTTGGAAGAAGGACATAGTAATAATCGTTACTCGTGTTTCCATTTACAGGGTTTTCAGGGTATAACGGCTACTTATGGGACTTGTGTTCCTAAAACGTGCAGCGAAGAAGATACCACAGCATTGATGAATTTAGGTAAGTACTCCTATGGTTAGGGTGCGAGTTGGGGAGACGGTGTTTTATCAGCACATCTTGGCCTACTTGAATGGGCAGGTTTACTGTTTGTGATACCATGCCCCTAAGGGTAGGCGCAATTGCTATCACACTGAACTATGAGCTAAAACTATTATTGCATTCTTAACGGCTCGTCAACGCATAAAAGGTCATTAGGGTAATCGACAGGTGAAACACACAGCGATCCAAAAAGGAAATAACATCAAACAAACTAAAAGGTAAAAGACAAATGCTAAAAATCTTAAATGGGTATGTTAACACAAAAGATTAAAATATGAGATATAAAATATAAATAGACAAGTTAGTTCACCGGCTGGTTATAAACAGTACGAAACTGTCACAATGTTAGAGTTTTTCAATATCTTTTTACGAGAACAAACAAGACAAAATTGCCCGACCCCAATATATGTGAGAAGGAGGATAAACTCCGTCGCTTATGATGTGTAGTGAGATACAGAGGCGCGCTACAATGAATGATACATTCAAAAATCATACAAATTGGAAACTGTAACATCAAAAATATAAGCGGATAATGAATTGATTGTAAGTTGTAATAATTGATACATTAATCCGACATCAGTATTTTTGGGGAAAGGTTTGCGCAGATGCCATTTTTATACATTAATGGTGTTTTTTTAAAAGGACAGAAATTTAAATCAGGATGACTCTGGATTAGTTCGAACTTCGTGTTGTAAACATAATATTTTTTTTCTGTTTTAGCATTATCACTGCTGTCAGACAAAATGCATTTCAGCCTCACTGACTGCCCATCGGTAGAGACAGAATACGACGCACGGGCCATTGTTAGCTTGTAAGTTGAATTGTGGTAGGTATGGATGGAATGTTAAGTGACTAGTATCATCGTAATGTAAAATACAAAGTTTAAAACACAATATTCGAGTCTCGGATGAGTTATATAAACACGGAACAGCTGTATGCATTTTATTGCATTATTTGGCCCTAATTCATTTCATTCTAAATCTGTATCGAAAAGTGTTGTTTACTCATATGTCTTTTGTAAATCTTACAGAACGATCTGCAGTATTATAGGATTGATGATGGTACTAGGGACAGGATATGACGTCATCGTCGTACGATATATAAGGGAAAAGGAGAGACAGGAACAAGAGAAACGAGATCAAATTGTGAAAACCGACATGGAAGCTGACCGATACCAATCAGAATCTTCTCTGAACGAGAGTACAACACTTCTGAAAAAAATCAAACAAAAACCAACGGTCGTTAAACATGAAGAAGGTAAGATTAAGTTGCTCTGAGTTTTATCATTTTAAGAAGAATTTTCAAAAACATAACCTTAAAAAATTACAGAAATCCAATGTAATCCAAATTGAAGCCGACAAGTAGTAAAAACTAGATAGACAAAAGTGAAGTTTTACAGGAAATCCTTAAAGGAACTTTTTTGATATTCCACAGGCAATGCAGAAGTTTGAAGAACAAATTAGACCCTAATGACGAGCATAGTTTGTCATAGAATCATAGTAAGGATATATATATTCCTTGTTTGTTGGTGAATTAGAGTAATATTTCATCATCACATCAACTGCAAACTGATTTGTATTTCAATGGTGTGTGCAGCACGGATGATATATCACAGTTTCAACCCCACAAGATGAAGTGTACTTACTTATCACCAAGAAATGAAGAAAAAGACAGTTTGAGTTTGCCACTCGGTCGATTAGTGTGTTCTTTTATTCTCCGTCAGATAATATACATATGTTTCACATCGAAGACATAAGACTGCAATAATCTATCACAAAGTAGGTAAATGCAACACGAGTAACACTCTTTTAATTTAATTAGGTTGGCCAGGAAAAGTAAGTGCATGTATTATCACAATGTCATTTAGTGTTATTATTCCTTGATCATACTGCAATGTACCTTGGGATAAATTGATATTCGCCCTGCAGAAACTGTCATCTGAATGTAAAACGTTAGTTAAGCCCTATTAATTTCTCTCGGTAATTTCAAAATAAAACCTGATATTTCACTGCGAAAAATGCAATACGTTGGCTTTTTATCATACATTTACAAAGAAGAGTTCGTTAATAAATGTCATACCAATTAACTTTCCAGGGACAATCGGAAAAATCCTTATCGCATTTTCGATGAAGACGAATGGTGAAAAGCTTCTGAGTACTGCACAAGGCGAAGGAAGTCTTACTGCTTTAAATGGCATGAGATTTCTGAGTATCACTTGGGTTATACTTGGTCATAACTACTCAGCAGGTTTAGATTTTTCGGGTTAGTGTCCGATACTTTTATACTTGCAAATAATTTTCATTGTAATCAATTTTGTGCTCAACGTCAAGTGATAATTTCTCTAATGGATCTTACGTATTGTGTTGAATTAAGGATAATCTCTCCATCAACATGATGATTTTCCCCCTCAGTCACCTCCTCGGTTTCAAAAATGTAAGCCATCATCAGCCTCACCAATGAGTCCTAGAAGGACGAAACAGCTGTTTAATTTGAACTTTAAAATCACTTGTATAATACCGATCCACACCTGGTTGCTGAAACAAATTCCTGCCTATAAAAGCCTATTTTACTGTGTTTTGAGTGACTTGTAGTGAGATACCTTTCATCTAGTTTTTTTTTGTTTGACCGATTTACAAACTTATAAATTTATTTTTATTTCCTCAAAGTGAATATGATTCCTTTCTACACGGAGATGATTAATAGATGGACATTTCAAGCAATAGGAAACGCCTTTGTATCTGTGGATTCTTTCTTCACCATGAGGTAAATAACTAAAATTAATACTCCATTTGTATACGTAAAACGAATGCGTTAGTTGATATTTTTTGCCTAGTCTGATTTCATGTTGAAGCAAATGCATCCCCAAGGATCCAAATGAACAACTGAAGTGTATGCTATAAGGAAGCAGGTGAAAGTTGGTCCCTTGGTGACCTTACCCCTAACAGAACAGTATGTGTATGTTGACGTCTTATAACGACCTCTCTGTCCGTTTCATCTCATATCCTGCGATCAAAATGGCACAAGCGAACCTGCAGAATCAGGGCTTTATTCGATATTACCGTTCAAGGTGATATTGATGAGACTCTGAACTACTGTCAAATATTGTAATCCTTGTTTTCTGTTCGTTTCAATTTTCTCATTTCGTAATGTTTACCTGGTAGTTATGCTGCTATTGCCCTTATTCTCTTATAGAAACCTGGTATTACCTACATGAAATGACACAGATGTATATGGCGGGTGATTTCTATAAAGCAGAAGACTCATAGTCTTGCTGAACACATGGTGCTATTATACTTGTACTTTTTCAAGCATCTCCGTGTTGACTTTCTTTGTTGATATTTTGCTCCAAATTTATGGAATATGAGTTTGAATTAAGGTTCCGTTTTACATTTCGGTATTTTCTTGGTTGTTTTTGTATTGTTGAGTCCCTGTTGACACCTGTTCTCATAGAATAAATTTGGTCCCGCGACTGTCTAGGACATTACGTTAGCAGTTGGTACGACAGATGGGAGTCCTTCAATGATCAATTTTGAGTGCTTTCGTTGTGTTAACTCATTGAAGTGCCATATGGTCACAACGGAAACATAACACCCACTGCATAATTAGTGATATGTTCGAGAATTTCATTTTGTTATTTTCATCAACAATGGCGCGAGAATGAATACCCAGCATAAAAATGTTTTTAAAAATATAAGGAAATATATTTTATATGCTTTTATACACGGATACTAATGTATAGATATGTGCAATAAAATCAGTTTGATAGATTTAATCATGTTAATTACATCCTATTATATAATAAACCGCCCGGATCACTAAGTCATGTATAGCTTAAAGTGAGGTACAGTGCTGTGAGTACCAATACTTATTGCTTGTCTTAATTTGATGACAGAAACAGGATGGCAGAAATAACAAACACATATCATACGCATTTAATGCAGAATTTATCCCGTTTATCGCATAATATTTCAAGAGGTAGCAGCGCCTCTAGCCAGAAAGTAAAATATCATCATGGAATCACAAGCGTACAAAAATGTATCAGCACCATATTTTCTCGAACTACCATCGCTAGGCTGCAACTCATTTTGCATAGATGATTTATTTGTATATTTGGTTCAGATTCATAGGTTTACATTCAATTTTTGAAATGTTTTTGTACTTCCAGTGGTCTACTACTCGCGTACTTATTTATGAAGGAAATGAAGAAGAATAACGGAAAGATGAACTGGCCTATGTTTTACTTCCATAGATTTTGGAGGTATGGAAGCCGTTCCAATACAAACGATTGATTTAAAACTTCACACGAATTAGTACTTTTTATCATGTTATTAATAATAACACATTGTTTTGCTCAATTAGTGTCAAAACATATAATGTTTAACTGCTAACATAAAGGAAAAAAGTGAAAGATATTGTAACAATGTTCATGCAAACAATCTGACAAAATGCTAAATGCAGCTAAGTCACTTAGTTTAAATCAAGCAATACATGTTAAAACAATATATACGATTATTTCTGTTATAAATAAGATTATCCTTTGTAAAAATTACCTTTCCATTTACAAACCAAGTACACGTTGGTAGACAGATTATGATGGTGAACTGAGAAAATCTGCGATAACGAAGAAAATAAACCAAATTGAGGAAAACGAAGGGTTTTCAATTCATCCCCGAATATGTTTACCTTTTTTAGATTGACACCTCCATATATGTTAGTGCTAATGATAAGCGCGACATTGACTCGCTACATGGGCGGAGACGGCGGGCCTATGTGGTCTAGGAAGGGAACCGAACAGGATTACTGCAAGGACACTTGGTGGACGAACCTGTTGTACATAAATAACCTTGTAAAACCAGAAAAGATGGTAAGTTGTCAAATAGTTTTGTTTTCTTTTTGGGTTCAATTGATCAGTTACTTAAGAGTGGGCTTGGGGTTGAGGTTATTGTGTTCACAAAAACCGGAGCGAGTGCCTTATAGGGCAACCTTTACATACACAGCAATAACACTAGTAAGATATCTTAACCAGATGACGGTGCAAGACACTATACATCCTAAAATCCAAACGTTACGATCTCTTATGATTAATCGTAATCCTTGGAATTTCGAGGAAGGGCACTCGACACTATTACATAACATGACTATGCTTTCAGTTGCTATTTCAATCTAATCAATCATTAACATGATTCAACAGAGCTTCCATTTGACGAAAATTTCAAATTTTCAGAGATAAATGACCTTTTTAAGAGATTTGACGGTCTTATTTGTTTCTCTTCTGTGTCAGTGTATAGGATGGTCATGGTATCTGGCTAATGATATGCAGTTTTTCGTGATCAGTCCTTTGATGCTGGTTCCATTATATTAGTAAGTATACTTGTCATGATCCTCTATACAATTTGATCTCATATATACCTGATTTTACAGACTTAGATAGTAACTTTCTATAAGTAAAATTTTAATTTTGCTGAAGACTTACCAGAGATTCAAATAGACGCAAATTATTTGATGGACATATTTTTTGAATTTAGTAATAATTAACCACATATTTATAAACAAAGAATCGAAACACAATAGTAACATTTGAATGTATTTTTTATTTTGTAAAACCGTGACAGGGAAAACTAACACTTTTATCGACCGTTTGTTATATATATTACAAAATCTCTGTACATCAATATTTGGCTATCTTACTTTACAGTAATAAGTTTATAGGCTTCGTTGTCTGTGGTATCTTCCTATTGGCGTCGTTCATTGCTACTGGACTGTTGAGCGTCCACCATGGATGGGCCGCCAGCCCTATGGAACCAAGGGTAGGCCCCGAGTACGTATACAAAAATGATCCAATTAATATGGAAAAATTTCGTATTATTTTGAAATATAGGAATATGCACATTGTTCTTGATTTAGGAGAGAGATACCAATAAAACCATACATAACAATACGCAATTAAGAGGTTACCGCAGAAAAGGTTTGTTGAGTCCTCATATTAAGATATATAAACCAAAATATTAAACCCGTTATAGACGAGCTCCTCAAGAATTGATATATGATTCGATATAATTATCATTGAAATGCGCAATATTTTGATTCGAAAAGGCTGTCCCTAGTTTTAAGAATCTTTTTCAAGGAAATTCAACTATCATAAAAATGGATTACGTAAGTTAAGGAAAAGCTAATTCTTTCCAAGGGGCAATTTTTAAGTTAAGAAAGATTCGTGAAACCGGAAACCTGGTTAAGGTTTTAGATTCTTCTTAAAATCCTATAAATTCATTTCTAAATAAACGATGTCTACTTATAAATAAAGTTAAGCGTCATTATACACATTCTGAAAACAGGGAATTAGTCTCCCTAGTGAGATGCAATACTCAGCAGGAAAACATTATTTGTTCTTTACAGAGCCACCAATTCCTACATGATGGACTACTACTTCAAGCCATGGTGTAGGATAGGACCTTATATTGTGGGAATAATGGCAGGATATCTCCTACAGGCTTGTAACTGTCGATTCAAGATAAACAAGGTAGAGTTAAAACTACAGAAATAAATGAATTAATGAATCAGCATAAATAACTTTTTATTACTAACACATATAAATGACATACAATGGAGAAATAAGGCTAGATATCTTATTTCAACGTGCTCATTGGAAAATCTATATTTCCTCAGCATCTTCTATTGTAGCTTCAATTAGCCTTTGCCCTTTGCAACTTTGTTGTTCCTTGTGGTCCTACTGCAGAGTTGGGCCGATTGGTTGTTTTCCTCCGAGAACTCCGATTTTCCTCCATCCCACATACCTGCCAAATCCTTAAATGATCCCAGTTGTTAATAGGACGTAAATCAACAATAAATTGAACTAAACTGCATATTCCTTCTCATCTGACACTTGCTTTATCTTAGTCACATCCATAAGAACACTAGGAAAAGATAACTCGCTTGATCTTTTCTGTGTATATTAGTAGGGAATTGGCGTAACAGTCGGTTCGTCTACTGTTGAAAGCAAGTCATTCATATCTTCCTACTGTGTTTTTGACATGAGCATATATTAAAAACAACTTATTTTGCCATTGATAGGGGAAAACATACTAATATTATATATGTGTTATTCATTGCATGGAATGAATGTGGTGTTTTCATTTTTAGGCTGTGAACCTGTTTTGCTGGTTGGTAGCGGCTCTCGTTGCATGTTTAATTGTATACGGCTTGTATGATTCTCTTACCGGCACTTTATTATCTACATCCGTTGCTGCATTTTACAATACTGTCCATAGAAGTGTGTGGGGAGTTTGTGTCAGCTGGGTTATTTTTGCATGTGCGACTGGAAATGGAGGTAACTTCTTAAGCTTATTACTAAAACATCAAGAAAATGCCAACGTAATCATAATCTAAACTTAAATTCCATACAACTGAGAAACATGAACAAAAGAATGATTCTGAAAAAGTACAAGGAGAATAAGGCGTGTTCAAGAAGAATTAGCGTCTTCTACTTCATTGGCGACACCCGCCATGTAAACCTTGATCAATCAAAATAAGTAAGGCACGTTCTCAAATGAGAACAAGGTAAACAAAAACGGAACCAACCTAACGAGTATCAAATACGTCCAGCTTCATATCACACAAAAAATAGAATATTACTCAATGAAATCACCATTGCGAACATAAACTTTCCCCAATATTTTCATCAACCAGTATCTTTGGAACCCTTATTGTACGTCAGTTGACGACTTCTTGCAAGAAAATCGTGATAATGGGAACAGGCCCTTTGATATCGAATGAATGATGACATGTAAATACCATAGGTTAGAAATGCAGGGATATTGCTATCCAGAAATGGAAAATTCACAATAATGAAATTAAAATCATTACGTTTATCATGAAGCTTGGTGAAAAGCTGGTGTTTGTCTCGTTGTACGAAAAGATTGAGATAAGCAGTTGATGTAGAAGAGTACGTCGTGTCTTCGATTTCCAGTTCAGGTGGATATATACGATGGACGTGGTCAATAAATTATATATATATCTTAAGGTGAAAATAAACGACTCTGGGACATGTTCTGATAAGCTCTTCAATAACTTCCTGCTCGTATGAAAACAAAAACAAGTCAGGCGCAGAAGTGCGCAGTTAGATCCCATAGCTATGCCAATAGCCTGTTGGGGAAGGTCTGTATCCTTATCATTAATAGGCAATCTAAATCATTGTAATACCGAAGCATGATTAGCTAGTATTACGTCATATGAAAGATTGAATAATGTCTAGTTAGAGTTTCCTTCGTTATAAAGCAACCCGAGATATTTTTGTTTGTAAACAGGAAACGTAATAGTGTTTGCAGACAAAGATGAAGTTACTGGACGCCTGAACTGCAGGCATGAAAAACATACTTGCCATATAAATCTTGAAATGTGGATATAACATTAGGATGGATTGGCTTTGAATGTATCTCTTTCAAACGCTGCTTTGTCCATTATATATTAACGATTGACGACTCAACAAAATGAAGACAAAGGCAAGATATCAAAGTAGGGATTCACATCATTTTCAGCCCAGTGACGATGTTTCCCAGTATGGTAGTAGTGGTCAGTAGACACCAAATTGTGGTGTATTAGTAGTTACTAATCAAGAACATAAAGAGAATGTCTCCACTTTTATTAAACAGTGTACCCTATCCCTGTAGTCTCGATGGGTTACTGGACCATCAGTTCCATTTACACAAAGCATTTCAGTTTTTTTGCATTGATGTTTCAGATATAATATACTGAACAAAATAAGTTAAGGATCATAAACTTGAAACAGTGCAGTTTTACATACAAATAATAATATGATTATATTTTAAATTTTAATGACAGAACATTCATTTTAGTCTTTAATTACACAAAACAAATTCATTTGTGGTAATTGCTACCAAGAGCAGATAACCCTGAGTAACAGCACCCTTGAAATCAAAGTGTAAGAGGAAGTAGAGCAAGTTAATCATGTAGACAAGGAAAACTCATCAAACTGCAATTGGCAGTTTAATAGGCAGTATGACCTCCGTTGACATCAATAACTGCCCTGCAACGTCTGCACATGCTCCTTATTAGTCGTCGGTGGCTGATCTGTGGGATGCGCTGCCATTCCCCTTGCAGAGCAATCATAAGCTGTTGGCGGTTCTGTGGCGGATTAGGTCGAGCTGAAACCCGGCGTTGCAAGGTGTCCCAAGCATGCTCGATAGGGTTCAGATCAGGAGAACGACTTGGCCAGTCCATGCGAACGATTGCTTCACGTTGAAGATAGTCGTTGACCACACGAGCACGGTGAGGACGAGCATTATCATCCATCAGAATAAAATCATGGCCAACAACTCCTGCAATGGGCCTTACTATAGGGTGTAGAATCTCGTCCCTGTATCGAACAGCTGTTAAAGATCCATTGTCTATGATGTAGAGGTCTGTATGGAAGTCAACACTGATCCCTGCCCAAACCATCACTGACCCACCACCAAAGCGATCATGCTGGACAACACAGCAGTCTGCATAGCGCTCTCCTTGGGTTCTCCATACCCTCCTCCTACCGTCATGGAAGTCAACACAAAACCTAGACTCATCTGTGAACATAACATTTCTCCAATGACATAATT